TGTCTAAAGCTTATTCCCACCCCACCCCCCAAAAAGAATCTTGGGAACTGTAGTCCATTTTTCACAGAGTTATAATTTCCGGCTTGCAAAAATATGTATGCAAAAAAATGTGTATGTGTGCCAGAGGAAATGCATTCTAAAATTCAGTTGAATTTTCATGAGGACTTCTGCAAACTGATGCAGAAATGCAGTGAAGTGAAGACAGAAAGAAATGAGAAATGGAGAGAAACTGAAATTGAAATATTAATCCATCCCTAGCTTTCCCTGGTATTGAAGTGACATTCAATTGCCAGTCTACTCTGTAAGCATGGACTGCAAGAAGATCAAACCTATCCATTCTTAAGGAAATCAGCCCTGAGTGCTCACTGGAAGGACAGATCCTGAAGCTGAGGCTCATGAGGCTCATGGCCACCTCATGAGAAGAGAAGACTCCCTAGAAAAGACCCTGATGTTGGGAAAGATGGAGGGCACAAGGAGAAGGGGATGAGGGAGGATGAGATGGTTGGACAGTGTTCTCGAAGCTACCAGCATGAGTTTGACCAAACTGTGAGAGGCAGTGGAGGACAGAGGGGCCTGGCGTGCTCTGGTCCATGGGGTCACAACATGTCGGACACGACTAAACGACTAAACAACAACAAACTCTGTAAGCAGAATAATGGGGGCAGAAGAGTGGCAGAGCAGCTGCTTTGCACACAGAAGTTCCCAGGTTCAATACCCAACATCGCCAGGTAGGGCTGGGAAAGATTCCCTGCCTCAGATCCTGGACAGCTGCTGCCAGTCCGTGTAAACAATACTGAACTAGATGGATCCATGGTGTGACTCCATATAAAGCAGTTTCCTGTGTTCCTATGAGGGTAGCATCTTGTTCACCTGAGGTGGCAAATTTTCTTGGGCTGGGTCCATTATGACTTTTTGGACTAGACTCTAAAGGGTTCAAAATACCCTTCAGTCTCTGAGAACAGACTATCGCAAATCACAGAAAAATGAGAATACCACCTTGCCAAATTCATGTATTTCATTTCAGCTTTGCCTCCTCTTTAGGCGGTTTGGCCAATTGCTACAAAATCAGATTTTCAACTGTCTTCTTTTTATGTTACGATGTTCTGAGTCACTGAACCCCATGATAAATTACTGTTCTGTGACTGTTGCAACTTCGTATTTTGTTGTTGTTGTCAGTAAACAGTTCACTGATTTATGTCTAATATAAATAAATGCATTGCGCTGAGATGCAGCCGTGTCACACGGAATGGGAGAACCTTTGGGAACCTTCAGGGGCTCTGGCTGAACACTTCCACCCAAGCGTGTTAAGATATAAGAAAACAAACAAACTACAATAATAGAGCAAGTTACAGTTTGTCCTTTAGAACAGTTGGCAAAGCGATCATGGAAATGACTGCCCCCAGCCTTGCTCGCTGACAGGTGAACTGAGAAACATATGCCTCTGCTGTGGTTAGACGTCCAATGCTAAAACAAATCACAAAGGAACTTCACGGCACTGTTTTCTTTCCCCAGCTATGCAAGCGAGCCTAGAGTAATGGCTTTCCCCTACCACAATAGCCTCCCAGCTGCAGTCGCTTGTTGCTTACCAGGAGGGGCAAAATGGTGGGGTTTCCTATGCGCTTGATGCAGAAGCTGCAGTCAGTGCAGAATGCTGCGGCATAATTGCTGTCAGGAGGCCTTGTAACAGCTGTGCTCAGAGATCAGCAGTGATTGCCGATTTGCTACTGGGCCAAGTTCAAGGCGTTCCTATTATTATTATTATTATTTATTAATAATAATAATAATAAAAATTGTATTTATACCGCGCCCTCCCCAGCCAAGACCGCGCTCAGGGCGGCTAACACCGGTATAAAAACAAATGATTGAAATACAACTCAAAAACAAGATTAAAATACAACATTAAAATGCAGCCTCATTTCAGTAGGAACTCAAATCAAAAACTTTTTGGGGGATGAAAACGTCAAGTCTTCACCAAGGCTAACTATCCAGACTGGTCCTACGTGGGCCAGAAAAAAGCCAGGGAAGTCCCCAAATAGGAGTTCCATCATAGAAGGAGAAAGGAAAAAGGAAGAGGGGGAGGGGATCAATTAGGATATAAAGCACTCAACAACTTGGGACCAGTCCACCTGTGATATTCTCTTACCTAGTGGCATGTGTGCGCCAACCCAGCCCTTGCTGCCGGCACCACCGGAGTGACCCCATCCCCACCAGAGCAAACCAGGGCCACACTGAGCCACCTGCCCACACATGCAGGGGGAGCCTGGCTGGCCAACATGGTCCTTGGCAGGCAGAGAGGAGGTGCCTGCGTGGGGGTGACAGATTCGCGCCCCCTCAAAAATTGTGCACCCAGGGCCACAGCACCCCTGGCACCCTTACCCCCACACTACGTCCCTGGTCTTACCCCTTATATTGGTAAAAAAGGTAAAGGATCCTGGCCGCGAGAGTCCTAATAGCACAAGGATGGAAGACTGAAGAAATTCCAACTAAAGAATCATGGCAAGAAAAACTGATGGACTATGCAGAACTGGCAAAATTGACACATAAGCTACGGGACAAGGATAACTGTGACTTTAAAGATGAATGGGAACCCTTTACAAAGTATTTGAAGAGGCAACAAAGTGAATTGGACTCCTTGGCGGGGTTTTGAATAAACATTCACAAACTTTTTATTGACAATAATCAGTTAAATAATTTAAGGATTTATACAACTTTGTAACATGCAGATAACAGCATTCGCAGAGAAACCAAAGACTGGCTTTTAGCAAAGTATTGGAAGACACAAGAACTACCCACGCTGGAAGAATGGCAGACGAAGGTGATTGACTATATGGGACTGGCGGAGATGACTGGCAGAATCCGTGACCAAGGAAAAGAGGCGGCGGAAGAAGATTGGAAGAAATTTAAAATATATCTTAAGAACTGTTGTAAAATTAATGAGTGCTAAAATGTCAAGGGAATGGAAAATATAGAATTACAGCTGTAATCGGTTAAGTAAGAGAAGAAGGTAAAAAAAAGAAAATGAGTAATTAGTTAATTGAGGGGTTGCTGAAGAAACATTAAAATAGAGATGCAGAAAAGGGGAGGCATGGGGAAGTCTGGGAAGTAAGGTTTATGAAAAAGAGGTTTTGAAATTATACATGTGTATATGTTTGTATGTTTAAGTATTGTGTATTGTTTTGTTTTTTAATTTGTGTTGGAAAATCAATAAAAATTTATAAAAAAAAAAAGAGAGAAACCAAAGACTGGAACTGAGTGAAGTCGAGGGAGGGGTGTTGGGGGGGTGTTGTGTGGGGAGGTGGGGGGATGGAGGAAAATGAGGGGGAAATTAAGGATGATATTTCTTTGGATAATATGTTTTGTTTAAATCTTTAATAAAGGATCCCTGGAGGGTTAAGTCCAGACAAAGGTGACTCTGGGGTTGCGGCGCTCATCTTGCTTTTAGGCCAAGGGAGCCGGCGTTTGTCCACAGACAGCTTTCTGAGTCATGTGGCCAGCAGGACTAAACCACTTCTGGCACAATGAAACACCATGACAGAAGCTGGAGTGCATGGAAACGCTGTTTACCTCCTGCCGCAGCGGGACCTATTCATCGACTTGCACTGGTGTGCTTTTGAACTACTAGGCTGGCAGGAGCTGGGACAGAGAAACAGGGGCTCACCCTGTCGTGGGGATTCGAACTGCCGACCTTCCAATTGGCAAGCCCAAGAGGCTCAGTGGTTTAGACCACAGAGCCGCCCGCTTCCCCATATATACCCATGCTTCATTTGGCAGAGCTGGCATTGTTACAAGTGCCACATAATGCCCATTCCACTATCATTCTTAGAGTGGTTTAACAGTCAAGTCCTCTTCACAGGAAACTCTGGGAATTGTATCTCTGTGAGGGGAATAAGGGTCTCCTAACAACTCCCTGCTTCCTTAACAAACTACAAGTCCCAGGATTCTTTGGGGGAAGCCATGTCTGTTTAAAGTGGTATAATACTGCTTTAGATGTGCAGTGCAGATGGGGCCTAAGAGTACATATCCTCCCGTAGATTATCTGAAAAATGTATGTGATGTGAAGACAACGCTAGTGGGATTTCAAGAGGCACTGTAAAAACAGAGAAGTATTGTTAATAAGAAATAGAAGGAGAAGGGAAGTTTAATGGCAATACGAATGAAGGGAATGTGTATCAAAGATATAAATATGGATGATTGTCAGAGACACTGAAGGAAGTTCAAAAAGAGACAATTTGTTGAAATTTGGATAAAAATGTATAATTGTATGGAAAACTAATAAAAATTTATTCCAAAAAAAAAGTACATATCCTCCAACATTTCTGCGATGAAAACAGGGATAATAATAATAATAATAATAATAATAATAATAATACCATGCCCATCTGACTGGGATTCCCCAGCCACTCTGGACAGCTTCCAACATATATAAAAACATAATAAAACATTAAACATTTAAAAAACCTCCCTATACAGGGCTGCCTCCAGTTATCTTCTAAACGTTGTATAATTACTTCTCTCCTTGGCTTGAGAGTCACTTAACTCCATACGCTCCAACATTTCTCCAATTAAAATATGGGGCATCCTAAAGAAAAGTGGGACATTCCAGGATCAAATCAGAAACTGAGACAGCTTCTGTAAATCCGGGAGTGTCCCTGGAAAATAGGGACACTTGGAGGGTCTGAGATTATCTGCTTTGATGGAGTCAGATTTTGATGGGGTCTCTCTTGTTAATTTAGGCCTTGGCTTCAGCATTAGTCATATGGATTTTAAAATTCTTCTCTAAGCTTTTTTTTATTGCATTGGATTTTCCATGCAAGGGTATGATTGGAAATTTTGTGTTTTGGTTTTGTTTTTCTTTTCTTTCTCTTTCGTCATTAGATGTATGTGTTCTTATTAATGTATGCTTTGTGTTCTTTGACTATATGTGTAATTTTATGTGCTCTTTTCTATATGTGTAATTTTGTGTGCTTGTAATAAAATTTAAAAAAAAAAAAAAGGATTTTCCATCATAACAGTTTGTTCTTCTAGGTGTGTCCTCAGCTGATGCTCAAGACAAACAGAGTCAGAAGAGGGAAGCGTGGAGAGATGAAATATGATGACTTCCATAAAGGTTGGCACCCCACTCAGGTCTCTTTTAATTGGTCGTAAAGGAAGATTAAATGATGTGTAGCAAAATCGTTCCCAATTAACCAAGTTAGACACAAAAGACAGACCTCAATTTGACTACCAACTTTGACAATCTCATAAAAATGTTCAATTATAATAAAGGGAGAATAAAAAAGTGCTATTTATTCGTTGCAGATCTTTTTTAGTGTTTCATAAAAGAAATAAGGGCATGTATAGTCTCAGCAGAGAGCATATGGTTGAAAAGACATGTTTTCAAAAAGTGTGAGGTGTGTCTGGAGTTCTCAAACAGCAGATGCAATTGCTCTCGACCTGGAGCTGCATGGGAAGTCAGAGGACTGAGGAAACGTGTTTATTTAAAACATTTTTACACCAGTTCTCGTACTTTAGAATGTGCTTTAAACAACCTGATTCAGTGACCTAACCTATCATTAAAACAGCAATTTAAAACCACATAACATAAAAAATCCACCTGTGCAGCAGAGATAAAGCAGAAAACTTAATTTCCTTAATGGGCTGGAGCAGGGGAAATTCCCCCTTTATTGAACCCATGGTGCAGAGGGGATTGCAAGTATGCCTGCCCCCTCCCTCAATCTGAAGTGCTAATCCTGCCTCCAACATCATTGGTCATGCATGCAGGAACATCCCATTCTGAGATGTCAAGTGTGGGGAGCCTTAGCTTCAGGAGTCAAATGCAGCGCTTTGGGCCTCTCCATCTGGCCGCCCCTAGCCCAGGACTCCTCTGCAGGCCACACCCATCCCCAGTCTTGCTTCACCCACCCACCCAAGTGCTGTGGAAGTTGGAAGCATGGAAAATAATCCTGAAACAGTGCCTACTCATGCAGATGACCTGCTCCTGATTCCCCCCCCCCCAATTCTCACCTCCCACTACAGTGGTATCTCAGGTTAAGTACTTAATTCATTCTGGAGGTCCGTTCTTGACCTGCAACTGTTCTTAACCTGAAGCACCACTTTAGCTAATGGGGTCCTTCTGCCACTGCGCTACCGGAGCACGATTTCTGTTCTCATCCTGAAGCAAAGTTCTTAACCCGAGGTACTATTTCTGGGTTAGCGGAGTCTGTAACCGGAAGCATATGTAACCCAAGGTACCACTGTACAGCCCAAGACCAACATCCCAGATCTTTCCTGAGCATCCCTCAACATTAAGGCAAGGCTTTGAGGGGGGCAAGGATCTTAAGTAGGAGAGGAGATGTGCGGTATTCCCCTCTCCCGATACACACAAGTACTGATTGGGATACAACCCAATACTCAATTCGAAGAATTGCTATCATCACACATGTACAGTGCAAGCTGATCCACTACAGCAGATGGGGCCCCACTGAGCTCTATCTGCTGTCAGGCAACCCCCAACCGCCTGCCTTCTTTCTTATAACCAGTCAAGGTGGTGGCTCTGGAGGTCACTTTCCTCTTCCTTTATTTTGCCCTTGCAAAACTCTACAGGAAACAGGATAGGGACAAACGATAATTTCTTGGCTCTGCCTGTCAGTGCCATGGCATGGGTTGCCAGTACCCGAGGCCATACATAAGGGAGGATGGGAGAGAGGGAAATGGATGGAATATGCATGCACTCTCAACTGCCTTACAGAGTCTGCGTCACCTGGAAGATCACAGCCGCAGAGATAAGGAAAGAAGAGTCGTTTCGTTGTCTGAAGAGGTCACTTCCTGGTTCGTATGGAGAAGCCATTTTCAATGGACCCCCACAATAGAAGCACAGAGCTGTATTGAGGCAGCATGAGGTGTGGAAATTTTGCTCCCCCTAACAATTTTGTGCCCCCTGTGCTACGCTACTGCTGCCTGTCATTGCATGTCTAAGATAGGGTCGACTAATCACTTTATTCTCAGTTGTGTCAATTGTGTATGTTTCCTTAATTTTTTTTAAAGTTACCAAAAAGAAACTTCATTAGAACATTTCTACCGACGTAATGGACCACAAAATATTATCTAAATACATACTTCATATAGCCATATCTGAATATCTTATTGTAAGGTTCACATTCATTGATTTGATTGATTGATTGATTGATTGATTGGTTGGTTGGTTGCATTTTTGAGCCAAGCACAGGGGAATAAAATTGGAAGAAGGGCAAAATCCAAAAGAGAATTACATTCTGAACTGTGCATTACTCGAGGAGATGAAAATCTGTTCAGTCTGCTTAAAACTGCAGGCCAGATTAAATGTTCCTCCATCCATACCATAAGAAGACAAAGTCTGGTGTGTTTACATAACCATATGCAACCACTGATTTTCAATTATTCAGGTTGTCTAATGGGGCTGTGCGTGTGCCGTTTTGCTCTAGCCAAAGCAAATTCATTAGCTTTATGAGAGGTTAGTTATCACTTCATCCACAGGTAGTTATGCAGCTAATGACCTGAAGAGGGGAGTGTAATTAAAGCCTTCGCTCATGGGCTTTACTCCTGCTAATAGTGCCTCACTCCCCTCTTTATTTAATGTACTATTTATTTCATCCACAAAGGCCACTAACTCATTAATAACTGAAGAACGCATATGCAAATATGCAGAGGCAATTTTGATATATCTCCCAGGTTGTGAATTATGCTCCACCATTGGGGAGAGGAGCTGTTATTACAGTTTGTCAATGAGATAGGTGCAGCAAGAGTTTCATAAAGAGTTTTGTTTTATCAAAGGAGGTAAGAAATCAATATGCTAGGTTTTCCTAAACAACAGCAACTCTGACAGTCTGCAACCACATTAGCAATAAAGAAAAGACAACAGGTCTCTGGCTCCCCCTGCTCTCACCTCTTTGCTTCAAAAAATAAAAATAAAAGTTTTATCTCTGAAACCAGTTTACACATCCTAGATATACAAACAACAAACCCATTCTCTGAATGCAGGTCCTAATGCAGCTGAAACAGGACCACACACATGCAAGAGGAGGTATTAAGAGGCTCATGAGAATACTAAGGTTTTCAGAAATGCAAAAATGACTGGGCAGGGGCCATAAACGTGGAGGTGTTAGATAATCTCAAGCAGCCCAGTGAGGACTGTGCATGCTCAGTGGGCACAGGACTTGCTAATTGTTAGAGGGAGAAATGAGGTTTGTTCACTTCTTCTTCTTTGGAGATCACTCTTAGCCAGGTAAGATTGTCTTCCATAAACACGGTCTTAACCGTGAGTCCGTAAGTGACTGTGGAGGCCAATTCTGGATCCACACGTCCTTCCACAGTGCGGACATAGGTTTCAGGACAGGAGTTGATCACAGTCAGGGATTGCCAAGTGTGCCTTGCTCGTAGCACGTTTCTCCCTTGCGTCCTGAGTTCGAGTGTCTTCAAAGCCCATGACACCTTTGGTAAAGGCTGTTCTCCAATTGGAGCGCTCACAGGCCAGTGTTTCCCAGTAGTCCATGTTGATACTACATTTTTTTTAGATTTGCCTTGAGGGAGTCTTTAAACCTCTTTTGTTGACCACCAGCATTACGCTTTCCATTTTTAAGTTCGGAATAGAGTAGTTGCTTTGGAAGATGATAATCAGGCATCCACGCAACATGACCAGTCAAACGAAGTTGATGTTGAAGAAGCATTGCTTCCACAATGGTGATCTTTGCTTCTTCCAGTACGCTGGCATTAATTCGCCTGTCTTCCAAAGTGATGTGTAAAAATTTTTGGAGACACCGTTGATGGAATCTTTCGAGGAGTTGGAGATGGCATTTAGAAGTTTCTAAGTTCACATGTTACGCTTAACACACTTTACATGCCTTCTCTACACATGCACAGGTTGAGGGGAAAGTTCAGTACTCAGTGGTTGGGCATCTGCTGTGCATGCAAAAGGTCGCGAGTTCAATCTCCGCCATCCCCAGGTAGGGCTGGGAGGGAACCCTGCCACACACCTAGAGTGCTGCTGCCGGCCAGTGTGGGTGATACAGAGGTAGACGGGTCCAAGTATCTGACTTGGTAAAAGATAGCCTCCTATGTCCCTCCGTAAGTGTCTGTGAGAAAGAGTGCATACTTGTTGACTTGTCCACCTCAACTGTACGCAAGCACACAGACTATACACTGGTTAAATGTTGCACTTGAATAGCTGTACAGCTCAACTACTTCTGTACACAGATAGACAGATTGGAGACTCGGGGAATGTAATTAACCAGATTAGATTAACCAGAAGACATACAACATTCGCATAGGCTGCATTCAAATAACAATTTATTCCATCTTCCTTTCACTTTGTTTGTGATCTTTCACACAACATAAAAGACACCTGGAAATCTCAGCACTTACTTCTGCGATAATTGTTTCCAGCGGGGGGGGGGATCCCTTTACAATCCTAGAAACTCAGAATATTGCGAGAGTTTTGTGTTGTAAGTTTCCTATAGTTTTTATGGATCTGCAGCGTAAAATGAATGTTGGAAATTGGGACAGAAGCACTGGCATCACAAACCAGTAAAGCTAACAAAATAAACCCGCATCTGAATGTAGCCATAGACAAATCAGGATGGATTCAGCATGAATGCTCCTTGTTATATAAGCTCCCTGCAAATGAATCAGAACAAATGCTCAATAAAGACATCATCTGTGTAAGTTCTGTACAAGCAAAGCAGGATGAGTCCTCAATAACCAGGTCATCTGAAGTAGTCAAGAGCACAGTTAGGAGACTATGCTTAATCTCAGGGGGTTGGACCCATTGCGCTTAGGTCACAGTGAAATCAATGTGAGAGGTTAGTCATGAATAAATAGTTCATATCCCATTGGTTTCAATGTGACTAACTTAGGTTAGATCTAAGTGTGACTAACAAAAGTTGGCTCTAACCCAGTATTCTTCTTTTCTATTCTCGTCTACCCGTGTTTGTTTATATGTGTATTTTAATGGTGGCTGCATCCCATGTTCAGAATTCTGGAGCCTGCAAGAGGCAGAATAGTTGTATTATTCTGTAGGCAGTGTAAATGATTTAAAACGTATGATGGCACATTTACAATTATCACTGCAAAAAAAGAGAGAAAAAGGTTAATTAACAGGGTACTTAATCATGCATTCATCCCACTTAAACCTCAGGTTTAAATGCAATTTTCATGAATGGGCTTCAATATTTATATTTGCCAGGGCTCTGTAAGTTGTGAGGAGATCCTTAATGGACTTGAGGAAAAGAGATAATTTTCTGGCCAAGCAGAGTCTGTATGATAAAATGCCAGATCCTAGGTAACAAATGAATGTAACAACCTTTAAATCTTTTTCCACAGATAAACGGTTGCATTTTTCATCATCCTATTACTGCGACTCTAGACGGGCGAGTGCCTCCCCTGACTTCCCCTGCGCGCGTTTGATTTACAATCCTGTATGGAAAAAGCGGAAGACAAATGTTGACAAGATGATAAACAGGCTGAAATAATATAATTTGTTCCACGTCATTTGCACGATGTGTCAGCATACAGATCATTCCCGAAATTACCCTGGGCAAATCTTTTAAACGATTGCTGCTGGATCGTTGATGGAGTTGCGACATGTTATCATCTTTAAGGAACCGGTGAGATATAGATGCGGCGGGTTTCTTAAACTAGTGCAGGGTCCATATATATTCAAATTAGCACTTCCACCCGATTAAATAAATATTTTTCAGTACTCATATGGGTTTGATCAGTCAGTTACATTTGCATCCATTTAAATGTAGGTAAGAACAAAAGTAGTGCAGGAAGAATTATACCTAAGCACCTTTCAAAACGGGTGGGGACCATGTTGCCCTCCAGATGTTCTTGGACCACAGCTCCCATCAGCTCCAGGCAGTATGGCCAATGGTCAGGGATGATGGGAGTTGTAGTCTAACAATCAATCAATCTTTATTATGGTCCAGAGACCCAACAAATCGTTACAAAGCAATTCACGATTCAGACAGCCTACCTCCAGGTTAAACAAGCATTTTGTTTAGACTTAAAGATAGGGATCATTGGTTCTTGCAATGTCTAACAACATCTGGAGGGCCACAGGTTCCCCACCCTTTTCTAAATTATGCACCCATGTGCTGTAGAAGGCATCGCCTTGGAAATGGCATCTCAACAGGGTTTCCAACAAGCAGGGAGAGGGTCATAGCATTTACATTCCCCAGAGGATGGGAAGGGCCATAGCTCAAGGAAGAGCAGCCATAACTCCATAATAGAGCACCGGCTTTGCATTCAAATGGTCCCAAACTCTATTAAGGTTGTATAGAATTCAGAAAGATCTTATAGTCCAGGCAGCACCTTGATGTCAATCTGCCAAGAGCCCATTGTCCCTCTATCATGGTTGCCCCTCTTCCTCCCCATGGTGAAAGTGATTCATTCCTCCATCCATGACACTCTTCAGCATTGTCATGTCTTCCTCTCTCTGCCCCCTTTTGTGTGGGAACCTACTGTCCATCCAACCTTACTTTGACAGCAGACATTTAAAAGATGCAGGAGAGGGAGAATAAGAAGGTGGGAGCAGAGCAATGGTCTATTTAACTGTTTATAACAGTATTCACAGAGTGTATAGAAGCTGTGAATTGGCCAGACTCCCTCCTAAGGAAGAATTTCAGATGGTCTGAAACACAAGGGTGTTGGCAGGAAGGTTCCCCCTAACCCTGAATGGCGCCACTGATTAAACCAGGGTTAGTCAACACCACCATATTGGCTAACTCTTGTTTAATCAGTGGTGCCATTCAGGGTTAGGGGGAACTTTCCTGCCAACACACTTGTGTTTCAGACTGTGCTTGCTAGGGCTGATGGGGGAGTTGTATTCCAGCAAGCCCTGGAGGGTAACACATTGGCTACCCCTGGATTAAGGTCTGTTGAAATTCATAAACTGAGTTTGTGAGTGAGTGTGTGTGTGTGTGTGTGTGTGCATTTGCATGCATGCATGTGACAGAGTCTATTCTTTAGAGTCATTTTCTTGATTGAACTAATTTACCTTGAAGGTTAATGTATTCTAAACTAATTCAGAGATTAATAACCGCTTAAAGATATATGAAAGACATTTTGATGTATACGAGACTAGTGTCATAACCTATTTTATTATCTCTGCAATGACTTTGGGAGTTCATCTGATGAGATTTAGGAGGAAATTTGATTGCATGATATTCAGAATGACAGGTGCATAGAAGGAAGCATTTTCTCCCCTCTCGCTTTTAATCCTAGATTCTCGCTCCTGTTAGTATCGAGAGTGAAGAGGTAATTCTATTTGCTTATATTACATTTTCCACTGAATAAAATTTGTTTATTCACAAGAGGACAAATGCTCTCTCTCTTCAAGCATTTCAATTATTATTATTTTCTGCAGGATGTTTACAAAAGTCAAACCAACAATCGCAAGTACTAAAAAGGGAAAGTGAATTCTCCATCTTGAGGTTGGTGTGACAATAACAGGTCTTTGGCCCACTGTGTGCGCGTTTGTATTGAGTTAGCAGGGATGGCGGAGACATAGGAACATACTGATCCCCGCTGAATTTGTGGCACAATTTGTTGGGAGACAACTTGAACACACAATGCCTCCTTAGATAGAGTCATCAAGTCCTGTACTATTGACTCCAAAATCAGGCCAAACTGAGATTTGTGGCTTTGAGAGATATGTGAGCAGTCACCTGGCTGCCCTCTGCTTCAATGAAATACAAACTTCATGGGTTGCAAATTTGAGACGTTTTTGTTCAGCAGGGTTGGGGGACTAGTCCAAAGGGAAAGGGTTAAAGACTCCATGTCTCAACTCATTGCTCTGATGAGACTCATAAAAAAGAGGGGTGGACCATCAGAAGACTGACAATGAATTTCCCAGAATTCCAGTCTATTCTCCCTTCCAGTTCTCTTCTTGGTAGCTTTCTTTTTGTGCCTAGTCACCTGAAAGAACTAAGCCAACAACTGCTTTGATTGAGGTTGGGTCCCACAGCTCCCATCATCTCTGACTATATTGCCCATGGTGACTGGTGCTGATGGGAGTTGTGGTCCCAGGCATCTGGAGGGCACTGCATTGGCTACCCTTGTGATAGGAGATGAAGGATGTAAATCAAATTAGTCAGTGGATAGCTGCAAACCCACATATATAGGTGGGGAGGGCCTGGGATAAACAGCTGTTTATGATGAGGTCCACCTCCAGTCAGTAGAGTGTGAAACTCTTAATCTCATGGTCTTGGGTTAGAATCCCATGCTGGGCGAAAGATTTCTGCATTGCAATGGGTTGGAGTAGATGGTTCTCATTGTCCCTTCCAACTCTACAATTCTATGATTCAGTCCAACACCACCTGCCTGACTTTGGTACACTATGATATGTTTCTGGTCACCAAATACATTTGGCCTCAGTATGAATTTTCTCTCTCAAATGAGCATATTGGTTTAGGGCAGGGATGGGAGACCTGCAGCCCTCCAGATACTGTTGGGCTCCAACTCCCATCAGTCCCAATAAGCATGACTAATGGTCCGGGATGATAGATGCTGTGGTCTCACAACATCTGGAAGGCCACAGGTTCCCCATCTCTGGCCAAGGGCCTGAAAGGTTGCAGGGGAGTCTTTAGCGCATACGTTGCCGGGGTGCAAATATCCACCCAGCTGGTACAGCGCATCTTTGGTAAATGAACACACAAAGTCGAAAGTCCTTTAGTGAAACTGTAGGTATACAACTCAGTAATACCTGGGTATATATGTATTTTGTTTTTCTAGCTTGATCAAAATTATTTAATATTTCTTAACAGGTAGATAGTTAAGAGCTCAGGCGGCAGGTGCCCCCTAGAATTCAGTGCCCGGGTGCCCCGCACCCCTTGCACCCCTGGGTAAAGATGGCCCTGAAAGGGTGTTTGGTTTGGTTTTGCCTACACCACATTGTTCAGGATAAGTTATTAGGTTTGGCAGGAGACTTGAGTATAAGCAGAGGCCATGCAAGTTAAAGAGGAAAAGTGGAAGACAAACAAAGGGAGGCACTTTCGGAGAAGTTGGGCACCCTCACATCTACACATTGAGGCTGCAAGGCTTAGAAAAAGAGTTCCACTCAAGGCCTGTCTGGCTCATCATCAACATGAGGGGGATGTTGCAGGAGGAATTCCCCCAGGAAGCACTGGCTTGGTGGGGAACAACTATTCCAGGGTAATGACGGGAGCAGCCTCTTTTTTTGGAAATAAAATGGCCCTTTGTGCGTAGAATAACACAGGAAGTGATGTGCACCATTTTTAGAAGCTATTTGAACCTGTGCTGTGGAGGTGCCATCCTTTGAAGCTGCTCCAAGCAGATTTACACTCTTAAAGCAAGGGAGGGAGGGAGACAGAACAGCTTTCTGTACACCTTGTACGTGCTGCTCAGTGGTGTGTGGGGTTGCCCCCAGAACTATCTTTTTAAAAAGCCACAAAGAAGAAGGACAGGGTATACTTTAAGATGTCCACATGTGGAAACAGTACAGAAGAGACTGGGCAGATTTATCTGTCCACAGCCTAGACATGTACTCACCAGTTTTGCATCTGAAGGCTGATCTTTCTTCTATTGAATGTAGGTCTTGGTGCTTAGTTTTCTGATTTTGCTTAAGCAAGCACATCAATAGGTTATGTGTATGTTCCTTAGAAGGATATTTATGTGAGCTCATGATCCAATGCCTTTAACCATACTTTACAACTATTAGGTCTTCCTTTAAAGTTTCTTCAAGGAAACTTACACTACGAGTTTCTCAAGGCCAGGTGAAGACCTCTCTCTTCTCCCAGGCTTTTTAAAATGCCACGGTTGCTGGTTTGTAAGTACTGCATGGTTACTGACTTTAAGCTGTTCTGTGGTATTATGCTGATTTATATAAATGTTGTGCTGGTGTTGCTTTTCTACGATGCGTGATTTTAGCACTGTTGGTTGTGTTAGCAGTCTATTGATTTTAAATGTTTGAACTTCTCAGAGGACACAGTTGACTGGGTGGCATAGAAATGCCAAACTAAATACCCCACAAAATGTCTTGTATCTTCATTACTGGGGTCTGGGTGCAATCTTGTCTAGGGTTCGCCTTGCAGGTTAAGCTTTCTCCCAGACCTGTGAACCGTGACCTTCTATAGATGCAGACGCCACAATTGTAGCAGTCATTGGAGCAGGGCAGCAGCACTTACTTGACCTTCCACAGAATCATAAAATCATAGAGTTGAAAGAGACCCTGAGGGTCATCTCGTCCAACCCTCTGCAATGCAGGAATCTCAGCTAAAGCATCTATGACAGATGGCCATCCAACCCCTGCTTAAAAGCCTCCAAGGAAGGAGAGTCCACCACCTCCTGAGTTTGAGTTCTACTCTCCAGAACAGAAGAAAACAAGCTTGCTCCCTCTTCTATGTGACAGACCTTCAGATATTTGAAGATGGCGATCATGTCTCTTCCCAGTCTTCTCTTTTCCAGGCTAAACATACCCAGCTCCTTCAAGCACTCCTTGTATGGCTTGGTTTCCAAACCCTTGACCATCATTGGGGTGGACAAGGTAATGGCTAGGTCAGTGCGGTGCAAACACGCTGATGGGAGTGCTGGATTGAATCCGCTGGTGTGTTTGCACC